GGGTGGGTGGTGCGGGGAGGTCGGTGGGGGCCGGTGAGTGCCGGAGGTCTCCCCGGGGAAGGCGTCCCGCCCGGAGGGGTCGCCAGCTGGCGGTCACCGCAGGCCTGAGCGTCCCGCGCGGGGATGCGGTGCCGGTCGGCGGGGAGGCCTACGTCGGGGGTGCGAGCCGGGGGGAGCAGCGGGTGGGGGCGCGGCCTGGGCAGGGCTCCCGCGGAGGTGACGTCCGGGAGTCGGCGCACAAGTTCTGGGGAAGCGCGCCCGGGGAAGGGGGACAGCCTCTGCACAGGCCCGGGGGCTAGAACCGAGCGCGCGGACGTGGGCAGCAGGGGCTTTGCGGAGCTGAGGTCAGGGGGCAGAGCCACGGAGCTCAGGAAGGACTTCGGGATGCATTCTAGGGGCGGGTGGGTGCGGGACAGGAGAGGAAGCGGGGAAACGCTGGGGATCTTCTGTAAGATTGTGTGGCCGGAGTGCTGGCCGCGGTGGCGCGCAGAAGTGGGGGTACCGAGACAGAAGCCGCAGGACTGGCTGATGCATTGGTGTAGGCAAAGGAGGGACTGAGGCAGATGCCTCCCAGGCTCCTGGCCTGAGCAGCCGGGAAAGCCGGGAGGTAGGCAGGGAGGCCTTCCAGTGCACGCTGCTTCTTCAGCCTGCTGCAACTATGCATTTTGTTTGTTGCTGGGACTTTGCTTACTCTTTTTTGGTCATCCTCTCTGCCTGAATGTGAGGAATGTGTGTGTCTTTAAAATTTGGGTCCAGGCCTAAACCTGACCATTTCTTTCATTAGGCAGTCTACTTTGGTTGAGCCTGAGCAAAAGGATCTGGGAAAAAGCCCCCGAGGGAGACTTGAGTGGAGAGGAGAGTCACCATACCTTTTTATTGTATTTTGGTTATGAACATAATAGACTCTAGCTTTCCCATCCAATATTGACAGCATTTTAAGGAGGAAGCAAATAATGGAGTTATCTGTAAAATGTTAATCTGAAATTCAAGTCATAAATGTTTCAGTCTGCCAGCAGAATGAAAAGCTGCAGTCGCTGAGCAGACACAAGTAGTTTGAGGAAATGTGGGGTATTTATAGGAAGTGAAAGCTGGGGCGCCTGGGTGGCTCAGTCGTTAAGTGTCTGCCTTCAGCTCAGGTCATGATCCCAGGGTCCTGGGATCAAGCTCCGTATCGGGTTCCCTGCTCCGGCGGGGAGTCTGCTTCTCCCTCTCCCTCTGCCTGCCACTCCCCCTGCTTGTGCTCTCTCTGTCAAATAAATAAATAAAATCTTAAAAAAAAAAAAAAAGGAAGTGAAAGCAAAATTCAGGGCACATGCAGATTTAAGTCACAGCAGGACCAGGAGTTTCCCAGTGCCGGGGTGGCCAATGGTGGCAGGTCAAACTTCCCAAAGCCTTAAACCTACCAGGTGACTTTGGACACCTGTAGACAAGATGTTGCATTAAAAAACTCTGGTTTGGGGGCACCTGGGTGGCTCAGTCGGTTAAGGGTGTGCCTTCGGCTCAGGTCATGATCCCAGGGTCCTGGGATCGAGCTCCGTATCGGTCTCCCTGCTCAGCGGGAAGCCTGCTTCTCCCTCTCCCTCTGTCTGCCGCTCCCCAGCTTGTGCTCTCTCTCTATGTCAAATGAATAAAATAAAATCTTTTTTTTTCTTTTAAAGATTTTATTTATTTGACAGAGAGAGACACAGCGAGAGAAGGAACACAAGCAGGGGGAGTGGGAGAGGGAGAAGCAGCAGCCCGATGCGGGGCTCGATCCCAGGACCCTGGGACCATGACCCGAGCCAAAGGCAGACGCTTAACGACTGAGCCACCCAGGTGTCCATAAATAAAATCTTTTTAAAAAATAAAAATGAATAAAACACTCTGTGGCTTAAAAAAAACAACTGTGTTTTAACAGCCACTGTTGGTAATTGTATTTGAATTTTCATGTGGATCAGTTTAAACATTGTTACTGATTTTAAGATCAGGTAAATTAATAGTATTAGGCAGGATTACCTACTGTGTATATATATGAAAGTTTCTGATACTGGTAAAAAGATATACAGATAAATTTTATTTAGGAGGGATTTCAGGAGCTGTGCTTTTCTGTGACACTTTGTTCTCTCGTAAATGCAGTCCCTGCTGTGTGCCAGCCCTTGTCCTCAGTGTAAGTGACAGAGCAGCGAGGGGAACTGGCAAAGCCTGTGAGCTTCTGGAGCTGACGTATTTCTGTTGAGGCCCACAGTGAACAGGGCCCAAGTCTAGTGAGTCACACACTGAGGAGGACCACGGAGAGACAGAGAAAGGAGGAAGGGGACTGGTGGCTGTAATTTTATTTAGAGCTGCAGGAAGCTTCACAAGAAGGTCAAGATGGAACAAAGACCTATGAAGGAAAGTGGGGTGGGGGTGTGGTCTTGCTAGGCACGGGAAACTGCAAGTGGGAGGGGAGAAGTAGGCCTGCCCAGGGTCCGGGAGCCAAGAGGACAGTGTCGGGAGGAGTGGGTGCCCAGATCACCTGAGCCTTCCGCCAGGCCAGAGACTACAGAGAAATAAAGAAAAACTACCCAAGAAGTTAGAAAGCCCTCAGGAAGGTGCGGCTCGCTGGGCGCTCCCGCTCCCCCCTCCTTCCATCTGGAGGAGAGGAGCAGGTCTGTCCTTCAGAGCAGTAGGGTAGGCTTCGAGGCTCAGCGGGCCATTGATCCTACCACCGGGTGGAAAGAACTTTTGAAAATCTACATGGATGGTCTAGCGATTATAAAGGAAACTAGCAAATACTGGATTGTTGGAAATTATGCATACCTTTTCCATACTTCATGAAGATTTGGAGACGTCCGAGTGCAGAGTGCAGAAGGCTGCGTGGTGGTTCTGCAGGGGACCACCCCGACCTTGACAGTATCTGCTTGTTGAGCCGACAGAGTGTATCTGTGCTTCCACACTCCATCTCCTTGTCCCTAATAGGCACATCTGTGTTTTCTTTCCAGCAGGAAAGTTTACATGGACTATAATGCAACCACCCCCCTTGAGCCAGAAGTCATCCAGGCCATGACCGAGGCCATGAGGGAAGCCTGGGGAAATCCCAGCAGTCCTTACCCAGCAGGTAATGCTAGAAGGCGCTCACAGATCCGGAGATATGGGGGGCAGAGGCAGTCTTAGAGAAATTGTACACCACATGTGATCACTTGCTTTTGAATAGATTTTCTGTTCACTGCAAACCTTAGGTGTAATTTTTGGCTGGTTGGTTTTCAGAAAAGTCCAAACTTGTCCATTGAGCCTGTTGATACCATAACCTTTCATTTTTAATACACTGTCCCGTCCCCCTTACCCAGATGAAAAAGATGTCTTGTTAAGAGCTATTTGTAGTAACAGTACCCATTAAAACCCTTTCATGTATCTGTTTCAGTGGATCCTTAAAAACTTTACAAAATAGATCTTTTAAATCATCAGGATTGCATATAACCCTGGCCTTTTTTTTAAAATGAAAATTATTTTAAAATTCTTTATTTTCATTATAATAAAAATATTCTTATTTCTCATTTATTCTTGTTTTAATGTAGATCGTTAAATTGGCGGTTTTGGAAAATGATTTGCTGCAAATCAGTAGTTTTATGTCACTGTCACAGTTACATTATGTTTTTCAGATGGCCAGCTAGTTGTACCTTTCTTATTTAATACTTACCAGAGATCATTAAGATAAACTGTCTTAACTGTGGATTATGAGGAGCTACAAGAGCTTTCAGACACTGTTGCCAAGCCCTAGAATTTAGTAATACTTATATCCAACTTTACAGGCTTTCATGGGTTTTCCTATCTGTTTGGTATGAGCTTCACAACTTGATAACTAAAAGCTTTTTCAAAATCAGGTACTAGTCATTCATTAACTTATTTGTTGGTTTATTTGGTACGTGTATTCTGGCTAATCTTCTGGACATTGCCTTGTATCTAATTTTTCCTCTAGCAAAACTGTACTTTCTGATGCGTTAATCTTGAGAATACGGAGGACAATTAAATGCTAATAGAAAACGTTTCTTATAAAGAAGTTTAGGAATAACCCTGAAGGAGAAATTCCCCTTCTTGACCCGATGAAACCTGTCAGTGGCTTTCCAGTTGTCCTGACAGCCTTCATTTCTTAAGAACCATAACTGAAGTATGCATTGCCGTTCACTTGTTGATATTCAGGTAGAAGTGGAGGGTGGGGGGGAAGGAAAAGAAAAAAGGAAAAGAAAGAAAATCACCTTTATGATAGAATGGTTTAATTATTTTCACAATATTATGATTTAATAATGATAATAATTCCTTTGGGAGAATTTATTTTAGGGAAAAACGTTAAGGACATATGGGAAGAGTTTAGATACCCAAGATGTTTATCACAGCCTTGCTTATAATAGTAAAAAGCTGGAAATAACCTCAGTGTCCATCAGTCAAGGACTGATCACATTGAGTATGCTGAAGCCCTAAGTGGAGTTCTGGGCCCTGTCAGAGCCATGGTGTGGACTAGATCAATGATCTAGCAGCATCTAGTTCATGTGGGGAAGGCATGTTATGAAACCTGATGTGCAGTATGGTTTCTTTGTTTCTTATACCCAACCCTGAAGAAAAACTGTGTATGAGCAAGTATGGAAAATATATCATTTTGCTGTGAGATACAGAAACCCCCACGTAACAGGAGCTTAAGCACAAGGACTGACGCAGCTTAAGGCTTCTGCCTCCAGTCTGTTGCAATATTCACATCATGTAGCCTCTGGAAGGCTTCACTATATACTTTCAAGAAAATGAGTATAAAAAGACAAATGATGTCTAGCGTTATTATGAAACTTGATTTGACTTCGTGGAGCCCTGAAAGTGCCTTGCCCCTGCCCCAAGGGCTTCCCAGATGACATTTTGAGAACAGCTGATTTAACCAGTATTGGTTGAGTACTTACTGCCTGCCAAGCACTGTTCTGGTGAGGGATAAGGCACAGGGCACAAAGTGTATTGGGTTTTCAGGGCATTACTTTGGCCACTGCCTAGAGAGTGGACCACAGTGGTGTCAGTGGAGTTGGGAGCCTTCTAGGGGAATATTTCAGCGGTGGCCTTGACTCCGCTGTGGCTGGGCAGTGCAGAGGTGAGGCAAGATTCCGGGTATTTTGGATGGCAGAGCTTTACAGGATTTGCTGATGGGTTGGATAATGGGGTATGAGAAAGGCAAGAGCCAAAGCTTTTGGCCCCAGACCCCTGCAAGGACTAAGGTGCCATTTATTTACTGAGATCGGAAAGGCTGAGAAGAACAAGTTTGGGGGAGAAATCATTGTTCAACTTGGAGTAAGTGTAGTTGCAGATGCCTATTGGATACCCAGGTGGAACGGTAGAGTCTGCAGCACGGTGCTGGTTATTCAGTCTTGAGTTGCTGAGAGAGGGAGGATCGGAGGACCTGGCCAGGGTGTGGGGCCATCCGCCATCTGGATTTGGAGCCCTGCCCAGCAAGGGACTCGGAGGAGGAGGGAGTGGACCAAAGGGAGAGCTGCTGGCAAGGGAGGAGGCGGGGACCTTGATTTGGCACAAGGGGATCTTGGTCAGAGTAGGTTTGGGAGGCCAGGGACCAGAGTACCTGATTGCCAGTGAGTTCAAGAGGGAATGGAGAGGGGTAGAGATGGGAAAGGAGAAACGGGCCTTTGCTGGGGGCAGGTAGAGGGGCTCTGGTGTGAGAACAGCCAAGTGAAGTAGGGTTGCTTTAATGGATTATGGAAGCCACACACGCCCCTTACCATTCCTCTTGCTTCCTGAAAGGCAGGAGTTCAGAGTCTTCTCTTATGTCAGTTACAGTTACCAACCACCCTTTACATTTAGTTACACTAACAACTTCAAACATTCCGGAAATTTAAGAGTAAGAAAATAGACACCCATGTGTCTCCTACCTAGATCCAACAGTGTTGCCATATTACCTTGATCTCTTTCTTTCTGAATTTACTGCTTTTTCATGAGCTCTGGAGAATGAGTTGCAAGAAGCGTGGTACTTCCCCATCATGGGGAAACACCTGTATGTGTGAAAGAGAAGGGACTTTCTCCCATCACAGTGCCATCAGCAAACCTGAGAACATGACAGGAAGGTCCTGCTCTGGATTCAGACCATATTCCAATTTCCTCAATTGAGGACATTACTTGTTAAAAAGATAACGACTGAATTAGTACCTTGGGGTGGGGGAGAGAACCATTGCTAGCACACATCTCACGGGTTGGTTTATTTTTTTAACTCCTTGTGCCAAAGTTTTATTTTGGAATGTAACATCTGCAGAAAAGGTGAAATAAGTCTAGTGAACACTTGCATTTAATTCCTTTACCTGGATTTATCAATTATTACTACTTTGCCCCATTTATTTGAATCATTTGAAAGTTGCAAACAGGAGGCTTCACTCCTAAATACCGAAGCAGTGTCTCCTAAGAACAAGAACACCGTCCCGAGCCAGAGATTGAACATTAATCCAATGACAGCATCTCATTACCATTCATGTTCTAATCTCCCTGAGTATGCACTTTTGTTTCAAGTGGCATTAGGTCCCTTTTGAAAATATAAATTGTAAGTACATGAAAAGAGCAACCACAAGGTCATTTCTGGCAATTCTCTGACCTGTCCACAGTGGACGGGATTCCGAGTGTTCCAGTAGCTTTTGTTCCCGGGACTCGTTGGTCTGCGCCCTCTGCATCCTTCCCCCTCCGACAGCTTTAGTGAGGTGTGATTCACATACACTGAACCGCAGAGTGAAAGTGTACAATTTGATGACTTTTTTTTCTTACAAGTAGGGCTGAGTAGTCAACAAACTTTGGAGACTCTTGATCTATAGACCAAGTAAGAATGGCCGTTGACATTGTCACAGTTCCCATCCTGGCTCCTTCCTTTCTCTGCCGCATACAGTTTGGTCCCTTCTTTTGTGCCAGCCAGTGAACTGGCTCACAGCTGGGGTGCGTGGCCCCCGTGTGACAGCAGGTCTGGCCCTGTGGCAGGGACCTCTCTCGCGTGCCTGGGGGACCTGCACTGAGATGCAGCATTGCACCATGTGTTGAGGAGTCATGAGCATTCTTTTTGCTTATTTTTGTTGTTTTGCAGCTTGATCTTAAGCAAATTATTTCATCCCTTCACCCTCCTGTCTTGATGAATGGGAAGCAAGGCAGATGGCCACAGCTTCCCCTCTCCTGTAGCATCCGGTAAGAGGAAGCCCACGTCTTTGGGGATTTTAGGGTTCCCGCGCGTCCCCCCGTATTTGTTTCCACCTCTTACTAAGTCTCAGTAGGGGTCACTGAGTTGCTCCTATCTTGCTGCTGCCCCTTCATCAGCTTATTCCTAGGTTGTGGCCTATTGTATTCACGTTAACGGGACATGGGTTGTCTTAGAATTGCCCACTTAGAGTTGTTCCTGCGTGTCTGGTTCTTTTTTTTTTAAGATTTTATTTTTAATTCATCTCTACACCCAGTGTGGGGCTTGAACTCACCACCCCGAGATCAAGAGTCACACACTCCACTAACTGAGCCAACCAGCCCCATGTCTGGTTGTTCTTTTAAACATGTGTTTATTGGGCTTAGTGAAGTGACGTTAATGAGTTTCCATTTTGGTCTCTCAAGGTCGGAAGGCCAAGGACATTATTGACACAGCTCGGGAGAACGTCGCGAAGATGATATGTGGGAAACCTCAGGACATTATCTTCACTTCTGGGGGCACCGAGGTAAAGTTTCTAAACAGGCTCACAGTCTTTTAACTGTAAGTTATATGAAAAAATAGAACATGGTTCCCTCTTGGTATTATTTTTTTAAAAAAAGAGTAAATCTTGGTCTTGGTCTTGCTAATTTTGCAAATTAGCTTCATATAATTAGTACTTATCCTAAAAGTAAATTCCAGATGTCTGATAGGACATTTGTAACATAATGTGTAAATTAACTTGCATTATTTCAACAGAGAGTTTCCCCTACATTTTGCCCTGGAATTATCCCTTTAAGTCCCTACTAAATTGTTTGCCTTATTAAGATTTTGAGGTTTGACCCATTCCAGATGTACTTTTAGATTGATAGAAATGCTCAAAGACAGTGGGATGGTGTCAAGGCTTCTGCTCAAATAGTAATACTGTCCCCCTTTCTGGGAAGGAAGGCATGACTGTCACCCACAGGTGATGTGACTGTCCATGTGGAAAACCCAAGAGAGTCTGCAGCTAGATTATTAGAGTTAATAAGAAAAGTTAGTAGTTATTAGATACAAAAATCAATCGTGTTTTTATGTACCAGTGACAAGCAGGTATGTTGTCAAAAATCGATCTCTATGCTCTGGAACCAAAATGTAACACGAAGACAGAGTTCGGGGATAAAGAGGAACGACAGTTTATTACTTTGCCAGGCAAGGGAGGCCGCAGCAGGCTGATGCCTTCAGAACTGCAGACCCGCCCGGGGTAAAAGGCTCAGGGCTTTCATAGGAAAATACAGGATCCGGCAGCGTCGATAGGAATCTGGTGCATCCTGCCAGCTGCGTTCATCATGTCTCCATAGTGGTCTCATGACCAGCGTCGGTGCCGGCCATCCGAGTCTCATTACTAAGTATCGATACCAAGTTCCTGCAACAAAGGATTCTACAGAAAAGCAAGTGAAGGGGAGGGGCTGGCTTCAAGAATGAGGAGGAGAAAAATGTGGTCCGTTTCAAGTCAAACCTTGCTGGAGCATTAGTGTGTTCCTCTTAGTTTCCGTATAGAGGTTTGTATAGCGGTTTCAGGTTTTTCAGAGCACGAAAAATATCAAATACTTAGGAAATAAAGCTAACAAAAAAGAATTTGTAAGACCTTTTTCATAGACCCCGCCCACCAAGAAAGTAATAGAAATATTAGTGTATACCACCTTCTAAGAAGTTCTGAATAAACGGAGCAATTCACCAAGCTCCCAGATTGGAAGACCCAGTGTTCTAAATACATCAGTTCTTCCCAATTGATCTGTAGATTCAGTGCAACCTCAGTCAAAATCCTGACTCTTTTTTGGTGGAATCTCACAAATTTATATGGAAATACCAAAGGCCAAGAATTGTCAAGACCTCTGGAAGATTAAGAACACAGTGAAATGACTTGCTCCACCAGATATCCAGCCTTCTGTAAAGCTTACTAATTAAGGCACGTGGTCTTCGGGCAGGGACAGACAGTAGACCAGAAATAGCGCCATGCATGTATGGACACTTGTCATATGACTGAGGTAGCCATGAATCTTGGTTTGCTCAGGACAGTCCCAGGATATACGTGTTGTCCTGACATAATTTAGTACCTTCTTATTCTTTTTTTTTAAGATTTTACTTATTTCTTTGACAGAGAACGAGAGCGCACAAGCTGGGGGAGCGGCAGAGGGAGAGGGAGAAGAAGGCTCCCCGCTGAGCAGGGAGCCCGATGCGGGGCTCGATCCCAGGACCCTGGGATCATGACCTGAGCCGAAGGCAGACGCTTAACGACTGAGCCACCCAGGCGCCCCTCTTTTTTTTTTTTTTTTAAGATTTTACTTATTTCTTTGACAGAGAGAGACACAGCAAGAGAGGGAACACAAGTGGGGGAGAGGGAGAAGCAGGCCCCAGTGCCCTCTTATTCTTAAGTTTTTCTGGCTCAGGTGCTAGATTATATGATCACCATATATGACTGAGGTAGCATAGCAGAGCAGGAAGAAAGAATGGTCTCCAGTAAATGGTGCTGGGCCAACTGTATATTCACAAAGAAAAAGGAAATTGGATTTCTGCTTCACAACATAAAATAATAATCATAACTTTGGGCATAATAAATACCTAATTATGGAAAATAAAATTCAGAAAGCTTTCAGGTGATAAGTTTATATCTTTGTGATGATTAAGAGCAATGAATTTCTTCTATACGATACAGAAAGCATTAACCATAAAGGAGAAGGCTGATGAATGATACCACCACCACCACAAAACAGACTTTACTTCATCAAAGAGTCCTGTGAAGAAAACAAAAAGACAAGCTAGACAATGGGAGAGGACATTCACCACATATAACTGACAAAAGACTAGCATCTAGGATATAAAGGCAGGTAACCCAATGGAAATATGGGCAAGAAACTTGAGTATGTGCTTCACAAAGCAGGCGCCAGTTTCTACATGTGAAAATACTTGGCGTCGGGCGCCTGGGTGGCTCAGTCGTTAAGCGTCTGCCTTCGGCTCGGGTCATGGTCCCAGGGTCCTGGGATCGAGTCCTACATCGGGCTCCCTGCTCTGCAGGAAGCCTGCTTCTCCCTCTCCCACTCCCCCTGCTTCTGTTCCCTCTCTCGCTGTGTCTCTCTCTGTCAAATAAATAATAAAATCTTAAAAAAAAAAAAAAGAAGAAGAAAATACTTGGCGTCGTCATCAGAGTAAAAAACATTGAAACACGTCTGCACGCCCATCAGAATGATAAGAGTTAAGCATTGCAATGGTAGTAAGTGTGGACAAAGGATGCAGAGCAGTAAGCCCAAGCATAAGCTGGAATGCCAGTTTGGGAAAGGGGCAGTTATCTGGTGAAGTTGAAGCCGTGCATACACTGTCAGCCAGCAGTCCCACTCCCAGGGCGTAGCATAGACAAGTGAGGCGCGTGCGCACCAGGGCGCAGGTACAGACTGTTCACGACAGGGAGAAACTGGGAGCAACCCAGGGGTCCCTCAAAATTAGCATGGACCAATGTTAATACATTGTGTTCAGTCCTACAGCGGAATGTCACACGGGACCTGCAGCAACGCGCGTGGATCTTGAGATGCCGAATGAATGAAGTCAGTCAAAGGGTCCATTGAGCCCGGTCTGGCTGAGTGAGGGGTCGGGGAGCTGCTGCCACGCCCCTGGGCCCCGCAACCACCACTGCGACCAGACTCTTGGTGGCCCACAAGGAGCTGCCTCAGCCCCAGCTGCCTGGTAGGGCCATCCTGGTCTCATCTGGTGCCAAGGACGTTCATGGTCTGCGAGCACATGGTGCATTTTCAGATGTGACCTGGTGGTTCCCACGGAGGCCCCTGTACTCCCGTTGGGGCCCAGGGCAGGGCAGCCATTTCCAGGGTTCAGCAGCGACTGACAGACACATGCAGCACGTGGGAGGGGCTTGGGCATCTCCATCCTGTTCACAGTCATTGGGTCATCTTTTACACTACCATCCACGGTGGCCTTAAATGGGATTGTAGGGACTCTGCAGCCACGTGGAGCCCTGAAGGAACCTCTCCTCTGGATAGAATGGCTGTGTGGCAGCATTTTCTACAAGGGTGTGACCTGGGACCTCTAAGGAAGCATCCACGGGTTGGAGACATCCATCTGAGTCATTCGTCCCCGACCACCTCCTCACTGTTGCCTGATCCGATGTGTCGCCCATCGGTGAGCCACAGAGGGGGCTGCCTTGGCGTGCCATCAGCTGGACACTGTCTTAAGTCCTCTGCACACAGGATGGCAGCACGTGGGCACCTCAGCACAGCGCAAGCACTGCCCCCCCCCATCGTGGGGTACCCCCAGATGCTCCAAGGGATTGGATCTTTACTGAGAAAAAGTTCGTTCAGTTCTACTCATATGAAGGTCAGAAGGAGACAAAATAAACAGTATTGTTTAGAGGTGCTTGCATAGGAAGTCAGAGTATCCAGAAGAGCAGGGAAGTGATTACCATACAAATCAGGGTGGTAGTCAGCTCTGTGGGGGTGGGGAGGGCACAGTGATTGAGGGGGGCCCAGTGTGCTTCTGCGTGGGGCAGTGTCCACTGTCTTGTTCAGGTAACAGTCACTCAGTATTCACTGCCTTACTTCTCTGTTAAACTTACGTTTATATTTTATACACTTTTCTGTATATATGTTATAATTTAAAATAAGAGAAAAAAAAATTTTTTTTTTTTTTTTAAGTCTTCTCCTACCCTGAACCCTTCAGTTATCCACTCTGGCTACAGGAAACCAATATTGTTAGCTTCCTGGTGTCTTCCAGAGAGTCTATGCATTAAAAGCAAATAACTATGTAGATTTATATATTCTTATCTCCTTCCCTGTTTACCCTTTCAAGGATATTTTTGCATATATGAGCAAATGTGTGTGTATTTCCCCTTTTTTATACAAATTGGGTAGAATACTGTATATAATGTCTGCTACCTTTTTTTATTATTATTTAGCAAGTATATTTGTATTTGAGATCTTTTGGTCTCTGCACATAAGGCGTTTCCTTGATGTTTATACCTTGGTGTCCATTGAGCAGCATTGCATGGTTTATTTAACAAGTCCCTTTATTGGTAGACTCTGAAGGGCTTTCCGAGGTTGAGCTGTTACAAACAGTGCTACACCTAATAAACAACCTTTCTGTACATCATTTTGCTTCTATGCAAGTGTAGTGATTGGATCAAGTCCAAGACGCAGACGTGCTGGGTCAGAGGGCTTATTTGATAGATATGCCAAATGGCCCTTAATATGCCAGATTATACTCCCATCAGCAGTGGGTACCTGGACAAAATATTCTTTTTCGATAGATTTATAAAATTTAAAAATTCGTAACATTGCTTAATAAGACAGGCATAATTGACTGGAAATGAATTCTGACATTTTTGAAAGGTTGAAACCCCAAATCTTTGTCGTTGGGCATTCAAATGTGCAGCTCAAAAGCTGAATGTCTTCAAGACCATTCTTTCCTTTTTAAACGTTAGTCACAAGGAAAATGAAGTCAGAAAGTGCTACTCTCGCTGTCCCCTTAGCCCAGGTGTCGTAAATGCTCTTTCTGCTCTCTGCAGTCAAACAACTTAGTAATTCATTCCGTGGTGAAACATTTCCACCAAACCCGCCCCTCCAAGGGGAGCCTGGCCAAGCTGTGCAGCCTGCTGGATAGGGCCACGCCCCACCTTATCACCTGCACCGTGGAACATGACTCCATCCGTCTGCCCCTGGAGCACCTGGTGGAAGAACGGGTGGCCGGTGAGTGACCAGCCTGGCGGATTCTGCAGGGCAGCTCCGCTTACGACCGCTAACTGATTCCAGGACCAGGTGAATCATTTACCCTCTGCTCGCAGCCTCCCTGGCCGTCCGCAGGTGCAAAGGTCACATAGCCTGTCCCCACACGGGAACCAGTGAATGCTGCCAGATTGTCCCTTAGGGAAAAGATGGGTCATCAACGTGGAGATCTAGTTTAGATCTATCAAGTAAACGATACTTCGGATTCTTGTATATAATATATACATGTTGAAATAGTATGCCTGTAAATGCTAAACCGAGCTTTTCACTTGGATTGCAATGATTAAATCTTGGCTTCCTCTTCCTCCGATAGGAGGAACAAGGGTCAAATAGACCTCAGTGTCAGGGGGTAAACACCAGAATGAATGTGCTCTTGCTGGACGACTTCATCTCAGCACAGGGGAGGGAGGCCTCGCCAGGTGGGTGGGCGGCTTGGGGGGCAGATGGCTGGCCAGGCAGGCTGAGGGTCGGGCGGGTGGGCTTGGCCAGCCGTGGCAGCGACTCTGACCTTTTGCTTTTCCCGTGCTATGAAGTCTCAAGACACGGGGCACAGACCACAAACTTCAGAAAACTAAGAGCCCTTTTCTCCCCCAAGACAGCCGAGGTGAATACTTTCCTTTAAGCAAAGTGACGTTCCTCTCTGCCCCTCTAATCTGTCTGGAAACCTGAAGGTGAATCGAGGGAAAGTATTTTTATCATAAAGATAAAGGACTGTAACATAGTGCTCCGTTTGACTATGAAGCCTTTCTATGGATTTTCCTGTTTGACTACTACAAGGGTTTTTCTCTTTCTGGTCTTACCTAGATGCACTACTTTAAGAAAAGAGATCGATCAGGTCTGACTTTCTTATTTCAGCTCTTGTTCCTTTCAGTTCCTGGTGCCTTTTTTTTTTTTCTGTCTTTCTTATTTTTCTGTACTTACAGGGAAGGGCGACACATCATTCTTAGTTGCTGTTGCGTTTAACCTCCTGCTTAAATTACACAGATTTTGGGTGGCTCAGTCGTTAAGTGTCTGCCTTCGGCTCAGGTCATGATCCCGGGATCCTGGGATCGAGCCCCGCATCGGGCTTCCTGCTCAGCAGGGACTCTGCTTCTCCCTGTCCTGTTCAGTGGTTCTTAGTTTTTTCACCAAGTTGTGCAACCATCACCATAATCAGTTATAGAACATCTCATCACCCCCCAAAACCTTGTACCCATCCACTGTAATTCTCCATTTTCCTCAACCCCAGGCAACCACTAATCCATGTCCTGTCTCTAAAGATTGCCCTATTTCAGAGGACTTTCGTATGAATTGAATCATAGAATATGTGGTCTTTTTGACTGATTTCTTTCAATTAGCATGTTTTCAAGGTTCATTCATGATGTAGCATGTACCAGTACTTAATTTCTTTTTATGGATTTATAAAATTCCATTTTATGTGAATTCTAATTTATATAAATAATATTCACATTACTTATCCATTCATCAGTTGACGATCATTTGGCATTATGAATAATGCCATTATGAACCTTTGTGTACAAGTTCTTGTGTGGATGTATGTTTTTATTTCTCTTGGGCTTATACCTAGGAGAGGAATAGCTGGGTCACAGAGTAACTCTGTGTTTAACCTTTTGAGCTGACCTTTGTATTCCAAAGCAGCTGCACCCTTTTATGTTTCCACCAGCAGGGCACAAGGGTTCCTATTTCTCTATCCTCGACAACGTTTGCGATTGTCTGTATCTTTTATTATAGCTATCCCAGGGGGTGTGCAGTGGTATCTCATGGTTTTGATTTGCATTTCCCTGATGGCTGATGATGTTGAGCATCCTTTCATGTGCTTAATAAAAAGACGAGTAATCCTTTTTTTTAAAAAATATTTTATTTATTTGAGAGAGAGAGCAGGGGGAGGGGCAGAAGGAGAGCGAGAAGCAGACTCCCCGCTGAGCAGGGAGCCCGATGTGGGGCTCGATCCCAGGACCCCGGGATCATGACCTGAGCCGAAGGCAGACGCTTCACCGACTGAGCCACCCAAGTGCCCAAGACGAGTAATCCCAGCCAGAGCGGCCTTTCTTTTGCTCTCCTTTGAGTCTTGCAGTGGATACGTGAGCTCTGCCCTTCTCTGGCTCCTACCCCGTCCCTGGAGCCCGCCCAGGCCTGCAGTCCTCTCTCGGGCACATGGTGCTCTTCTAAGTCACAGCCAGTGCTCCTGCCACACACCTGCAGGGGATGTGGTGGGGGTGCTAGGTCATCACACCAGCCCCTGCCTGCCTCAGCAATTCGCCCTCCTCACCCTCCATGCTGTGCACTCTGCACTTGGATGATCCTTTCATAGTTTTCGCCTATTACTGTTCTGAGTGTTTTTTTCCTATTCTTATTAATCTAATGCCATCATCTTTCTATATTCTGGGAATTCCTCAAAATTCCTTGTCCACAGGTGATACCCCTAATTTAGAAAACATCTGTTCTCTCATTTAGGGCCTTGAGGGGAGAGTGGATGCATTTGTCTTATACCATTTTGAACCAAAATCTTGATTCAGTCACCTTCACTTATTATTCATCTGTAGTAATGAGATTATAAGAGCTTGGAGCAGTGCCTGGAACCTAGTAGGTGATTAACGAGTGTTGGCTCAGTGTCGAGTGAGTGAAGGTTAAGTACTTGGTACGTTAAGGTGCTCTCGTGAAGACGGTGGAGTAGGAAGATCCTGGGATCACCTTGTCCCATGGATACACCTAGATAATATCCACATCAGTGTAAATAACCCCAAAAAATGACCTGAAGACTGGCAGAAAAAATTCTCCACAGCTAAATGTAGAGGAGGCCATGTTGAAGAGGATAGGAAGGGCGGAGACAGGGTTGGAAGCCAGATGGACCTGTGGGACTGTACATGGGGGGAGGGACACCATGGGCTCAGAGAGGGGAGAAGAGCAGACCCCATCCAGGAACCCCAGGTATGAAGAACCTGCACTGGGAAGATGGATCCCCATAACATTAGCTTTGAAAACCAGAGGGGCCTAACTTTGTGAGTTCTTACAATCAGTGGGGCTTAACACCTAGAACTTTAAAAAATCAACCGGCTTGGCTCTGGAAGAGCTGGGAGACGAAGAGGAAACTGAAGTTCCACCCTTACAGAGACAGTACAACTAACAGCCCCATGGAAATACAGCATAGAAACAGCAGTTTGATAAACTCCTTGGGTGTATGGGAGGGAGATTTATTTACTATTCTCGGAGTGTCTGCTGGAGGGGCATGGTATCTTTTAGGAGACTTCCCCAAGAACAAAGGAGCTGGCAGATGCCATTTCCCTCCTCCAGCTCCCAGCCAGATACACAGACACCCATGGGAACCAGTGTAGTGCAACACTCTCCACCTAGCTTGCTAACAGTGTACCCCACCCCACACTCTTCTGTGGACCCACACCCTCCATCCTGGCCTGGGTAGTTCTCCTGGGCAGCTGCAGGTCCCTTCCTGCAGGGGACTGGTGCAGACCTTGTTGGCACTGCATGTCCCACCCCCACGTTTTCCTGCAGACCCACCCACTAACAACACAGGGACCAAACCCTGCCTACAACAGGCAAAGACAGCCATTGCAGACAATTGGACTGAAGGCAAATGCCACACAGTAAGGTGCACATAGGAGACACCCCTAGGTTCTAGTGAACAGGGAACACCACACACAGCAGGGCACTATAGGACCTCTCCTTCATAAGGCCACTAATTTCAAGAGCAGGAGACCTAGCTGACTTTCCTAACACATAGAAACAGACAGAGTTAGACAAAATCAGAAAACGGAAGAATCTGTCCCAAATGAAAAAACAGGACAAAATCACGGCAAGAGAGCTAAATCAAATGGAGGTAAATAATATGCCTGATAGAGAATTTAAGGTAATGGTCATTAGGTATTCACTGGACTTGAGAAGAAAGTGGAGGACCTCAGTGAAACCCTCAACAAAAAGAAAACATTAAAAAGAACCAAGAAGAGATGAAAAACTCAATAACTTCAATTAAAAATACACTAGAGGGAATAAATAGCAGATTGGGAAAGCAGAAGAATGGATCAGCGACCTGGAGGACAGAGTAATAGAAAGCAATCAAACTAAACATAAGAGAGAAAAAAAAAAGAATAATAAAAAATGAACATAGATTAAGGGAACTCAGTAACACCATCAAAAGTAATAACATTGGCATCATAGGGATCCCAGAAGGATGAGAGAGAGAAAAGGGGACAGAAAATGTATTCAAAGAAATAATAGCTGAAAACTTCCCGAATCTGGGAAAGGAAACAGAAATCCAGATCCAGGAGACAGACAGCTCCCACCAAATCAACCCAAGGAGGGCCACACCAAGATACATAGTAATTAAAATGGCAAAAAAGTAGTGATAAAGAGGGAATTGTAAAAGCAGCAAGATACAACAGTTACATACCAGGGAAACCCAATCAGGCTATGAGCTGATTTTTCAGCAGCAATTTTGCAGGCCAGAAGAGACTGGTGTGATATCTTCAAAGTGCTGAAAGAAAAAAACCTGCAGCCAAGAATACTCTATCCAGCAGGCCTATCATTCAGAATAAAAAGAGAGATAGGATTTCCCAGACAAACAAAAGTTAAAAGAATTCAATACCACCAAACCAGCTGTATAAGAAATGTTAAAGGGGAGGGGACTCTTTTTGTAGAAAGACCATAAATAAGAATAAGAAAAGTAGGAAGCACAAAAGCAGTAAATTAAGTATATCTATAAAAATCAGTCAAGGGAACTAATGATGTAATGTATGGGGATTAACATAAGAATAAAAAAAAAATTGAGAAAAAAAAAAAATCAGTCAAGGAATTCATAAAATAAAAGGATGTAAAGTATGACACCACATACCTAAAATGTGTGGGGGAGAGGAGGAAAAATTTAGTGATTTTAGAATGGGTTCAACCATCAACTTACTACAAACTGCTATTATGCATAAGATGTTCTATTTAAACCTAACGGTAACCACAAATCAAAAACCAGTAATAGGTATGCAAAAAATAAGGAGTACTGAAAGTCCTAGACACAGCAATCAGATAAGAAAAGGAAATAAAAGTCATCCATATTGGTAAGGAAGAAGTAAAATTTTCACTATTTGCAGACGACATGATACTCTACATAGAAAACACTAACAACTCCACCAAAAAACTACTAGAAC